TCTGAAGAGTAGCCCTTGGGCCCCAGATCTTCCCTCTGATATAATCTACCCAAATGAGATGGAGCCAGAAAAACAAGTCTGGTAATATGACAAAACAAAGTTATTTAACACCCCCAAAAGATCACACTAGCTCACCAGCAATGGATCCAAACCAAGAAGTCTCTGAATTACCAGAAAAAAAATTCCGAAGATCAATTATTGAGCTACTCAAGGAGACACCAGAGAAAGGTGAATACCAACTTAAACAAATTTTTTAAATGATACAGGATATACATGGAAAAATCTCCAGAGAAATAGATAGCATAAATAAAAATCACAACTTCTGGAAATGAAGGACACACTTAGGAAAATGCAAAATATATCAGAAAGTCTTAGCAATAGAACTAAACAAGTGGAAGAAAGGACATAAGAGCTTAAAGACAAGCTTGCTAATCCAATCTGACAAAGACAAAGAAAAAATTTTTTTTAATTTATTATACTTTAAGTTCTGGGATACATGTGCAGATGTGCAGGTTTGTTACATAGGTATACACGTGCCATGGTGGTTTAGTGCATCCGTCACCCCATCATCTACATTAGGTATTTCTCCTAATGCTATCCCTCCCCTAGCCCCCCACCCCCTGACAGGCCCCAGTATGTGATGTTCCCCGCCCTGTGTCCATGTGTTCTCATTGTTCAACACCCACTTGTAAGTGAGAACATGTGATGTTTGGTTTTCTGTTCTTGTGTCAGTTTGCTGAGAATGATGGTTTCCAACTTTATCCATGTCCCTGCAAAGGACGTGAACTCGTCCTTTTTTATGGCTGCATAGTATTCCATGGTATATATGTGCCACATTTTCATTATCCAGTCTATCATGAATGGGGATTTGGATTGGTTCCAAGCCTTTGCTATTGTGAACAATGCCCCAGTAAACATACATGTGCATGTGTCTTTATAATAGAATAATTTATAATCCTTTGGGTATACACCCAGTAATGGGAATCCTGGGTCAAGTGGTATTTCTATTTCTATTTCCTTGATGAATCGCCACACTGTCTTCCACAATGGTTGAACTGATTTACATTTTCTCTAACAGTGTTAAAGCATTCCTATTTCTCCACATCCTCTTTGGTATCTGTTGTCTCCTGATTTTTCAATGATTGCCATTCTAACTGGCATGGGATGGTATCTTAATGTGATTTTGATTTGCATTTCTCTAATAACCAGTGCTGATGAGCTTTTTTAAATATATTTGTTAGCTGCATAAATGTCTTCTTTTGAGAAGTGTCTGTTCATATCCTTCATCCACTTTTTTCATTTTTATTTGTTGATAGGTCGATTTACTCTACCTGTGTTCTATATTCCTATGCTCATTAGGATATATGCAGATTTTAAAATATTTCATAATGACATCAACATTTTAACTATAGTCCTACACAATTATATTGAATGAATATAACATTTATAATTTAGATTATAAACAATAGTATTTTCATTTATTTCATATTTCCCAGAAAGTAAGTATATTATTAGTCAGCGTTCTCCAGAGAAACAGAACCAGTAGGAAGTCCATAGAGAGAGAAAGGTTTTACGGAATTGTCTCACAACATTGTAGGGGCTGCCAAGACCAAAATCTGCAGGGTAGAACAGCAGGCAGGAGACGTAGGAAAGAGTTGCGATTCCAGTCTGAAGGCAGCCTGTTGGCAGAATCCCCTCGCTCTCAGGTGAGTTGTCATTTTCATAAGTCTTGTCATCCTTCATCTGATTGGATGAGGCCCACTTACATTATGGAAGGCAATGTGCTTTACTGAAACCTTGTTGATTTAAATGGTAACTCCATCCAAAACCTTCAAAGAAATATCTAGAATAATGTTTGATCAAGCATCTGGGTACCATAGCATAGCTAAGTAGACATATAATACCATTATAGCAAGCTACTTATTATGAGTTTCAATTATTGTTATACCTTAATAAAAGTGAAACGAGATACAAATACAAATTTTTTCAATTAAAATTTACTTAAAATAGGAAAATACTTTGATACATTTTTTCTAGTTTATTTCTTTCTATATGTTACATACTGCAGCCTTGCACAAACATGCATGATTGTATGTCCAAATGATATTATTTTTATATGTAATCTAAATTCTTATTTATTTATATAACTGATTCTCTTTTTAAAAAATATTTTTTAATTGTACTTTAGATTCTGGGGTACATGTGCAGATCATGCGGGATTGTTGCATAGGTACATACATGGCAATGTGGTTTGCTGCCTCCATCTGCCCGTCACCTATATCTGGCATTTCTCCACATGTTATCCTTCCCCAACCTCTCTACCCCCACCCCGAGTCCCCCTCAACAGACCCCAGTGTGTGTTTCTCCCCTCCCTGTGTCCATGTGTTCTCATTGTTCAACACCCACGTATGAGTGAGAACATACAGTATTTGATTTTCTGTTCTTGTGTCAGTTTGCTGAGAATGATGGTTTCCAGCTTCATCCATGTCTCTACAAAGGACATGAACTTATCTTTTTTTATGGCTGCATAGTATGCCATGGTGTTTATGTACCACATTTTCCTTGTCCGGTCTATCATCAGTGGGCATTTGGGTTGGTTCAAGGTCTTTGCTATTGTAAACAGTGCTGCAGTGAACATATGTGTGCATGTGTCTTTATAGTAGAACTATTTATAATCCTTTGGATATATACCCAGTTATGGGATTGCTGTGTCAAATGGAATTTCTATTTCTAGGTCCTTGAGTAATCGCCACACTTCTTCCACAATGGTTGAACTAATTTACACTCCCACCAACAATGTGAAAGTGTTCCTATTTCTCCACATCCTCTCCAGCATCTGTTGTCTCCAGATTTTTTAATGATTGCAGTTCTAACTGGCGTGAGATGGTATCTTGATGTGGTTTTGATTTGCATTTCTCTAATGACCAGTTATGATGAGCATTTTTTTATGTTTGTTGGCCTCATATATGTCTTCTTTTGAAAAGTATCTGTTCATGTCCTTCACTCACTTTTGAATGGGTTTCTTTGTTTTTCTTTTTGTAAATCTGTTTTAGTTCTTTGTAGATTCTGGATATTAGACCTTTGACAGTTGGGTAGATTGCAAAAATTTTTTCCCACTCTGTTGGCTGCCCATTCACTCTAATGACTGTTTCTTTTATGTAATCTAAATTTAAAACTAAGATTATAACTTTAGATAATCCACTTTTTGAATTTCTAATTTTCAACCCGTTCTTATCCTAAAATTGAAACTCTAAAATCTGTAGGTTTTTTTTTTTTCTTATGATTGTATAAACCGTGGATATAGATTTTTGCCTGTTTTTTTTTTTGTTTTGGTTTTCATTATTTTAAAGTTCCTTTTCTCCAATTAAAATTACTTTCTATTTAGATAAGAATTTAAAAATCAGTAATCAGCCTAGGTCAATTTTAGAGCAGTCAGATTACAATAGTGAGAAGACACTTGTAAGATGTTGCTAATTCCTAAACTCTGGCATGACCACTCTCATTTTAAAGCCAGTGTGCCAATCCTGTTCTCAGTGGTTGCAGCTAAGATTGTGAGACTGCGGGGGCTGACAAAGTTGAGATTTCACAATTTATTCTCTGTATATTTCTGTATTGTTAAAATCTTACAATAGGAGTCTATATTATTTGAGTATTTGTCTGCATGTTTTACCCTCTGAAAAAAAAAAATTAACCCAAAATCAGTGTTACTCTATGAATAGGAGTGTCTTTCCATCAGAATTACCTGAAAGATTTTATTACACTTAAGATGAAACTGTTCATTTGCTCTGTGGTAGTTCTTCAAAAAAAAGATATCCATGTTTTACTAGACTCTTGTAGTTAGAAACTGTAATATATTCATCTTTTTATCACTAAATACCAAGAATAACTACTCAATAATATTAGTTAATTGAATGAAGGTAGTATAGTGCTTCATACTTCACTGGCTAACGATAAATGTTAAAAAAATTAATGAAAGAAAAACTACGTTACTTTAATCATGTTTCATGATTCATTTTGAAAATACCCTTGCAAAGTGATAGAAAGTGATTGTTTGTGTTGATCTCACCTAATTCCTTACCATACTTTAAGAAAAATGAGTCATTGGCTTGTAGAAGAGGAACTAACATTTAAACTGGAATTTTGCTAATTGCTGTTAACAGACATTGTAGTTCGCACCTTGGACTAGTCCTGCGTATGACAGCCTTTAGCATTATTTGAACAAACTGTATTAATATCTTAATTTACATGTTAGTTTGCTGGTGGACAGAAATTAGGAATTAAACAAGACCCACACCTGTGTTCATTTTTAACTTGAGTTAGACTTTGAACCAGTATCTTTACAGATGAGATGCCCCGTGTCACATCCTGAAAGGCTGTTTAAAGAAATGCAGTAGAGAGCATTGGGAACAAAAAGATAAATCCACACATGATAAAAGAGTATTTCAAGATTAGCCATCTGGTGTTATCATTTTAAAGGAGGGAATCAGGGAAACTTTTTCTTCAGATACTCATGGTGATTGAGTAAATAGAATATGTTGTAGTAGGAAGTCAGATGATCAAAGAAAAATTCAGATAGATTTATTTATTCTTTTGAGAAAATAAGACAGTGGTGATTCACTTCATAGCCCTTGTGGTATTTCTTTTGTATCTTTGAATGAGAAATAAAACTTTCATGGAAGAAAAGCAGCAGGACCCAGATAATGGAGTAATTTTTGAGCTGAGAACAGGGTATGGACACATCTTGCGCTATTGCTAGACATCATTTGAATGGGAAAAATGGCCTAGCCAACCTTGAGTCAGTGTAGCTAAACTCACCAACTGTTTCTGACCAAAGAATTCATGATACAGCTTAAAAGGATCCTGCCTTCCAAGTGAGACTTTTTTCTTGTAAGCTCTGTGAGTCATAATAAATGTTTTTCCAATAAAATGGCATAAATATTTTCAACATAAAATGGGGACAAGCTTAATAACCAAATATTCACAATGTTTTCTTTCCATAGGGTTTATCAGCATGGAAAGAAAGCCTTATAACCATCAGGTGGATACAGCACCAACGGTAAGACAGTCTGTTGCTGAATTGTTAAAAGTGTTAAGAAACTGCAGAATAATACTGGTTGTAGTCACTCACAAAGCTATTGTAGAAAACTCTTACAACCTCTTTTTTGCCAAAAGTTATATCCCTATAAGATTTGTTCATATTAATATTGTTAACTTAGAAATATTTTGTAGATTTGATAAAGTAATATAAATATTTATGCAAATTAATTTAACTCTTCTAAAAATGAATGTTATTTTGTGCACTAGCATAATTATTTAAAGTGAATGTTTTCTAATAGTGAAAAAAGGTCATTATGGTTCATTTCTCTTATAGGTTACTTTGCTTTATTATTATAGAACTGAAGTTTTATCTTTTACCTGTCTTCTATTACTATCAAACAACAAAAGGCATTTAACAGTTATAGCATCTATTTACTGTATTTTTAATTGTATTAATAGAAGGAAGAGAATTAGATTTCCCTTTTAGTCTCTGAATATAATATTTATGTGAAACATATATTAGTTGCTAGTTTGCTGTTGAACACCTCATAAGATGATATAGAGTATACTGTACATTCCCTAATTCTACTCTTATTTCTTATCCTTTGTATTCATAAGTCTTCCAGGTACTTCCTGTGATTCTTCATTTCGTGTTGTGAGAAAGATTTGGTAATGTAGAGGCTGAGTATCCCTTATCCAAAATCCTTGGGGCCAATAGCATTTTGGATTTTGGTCTTTTTCAAATTTTGGAACATTTGTGTTACATTTCCTGCATACCTGAGCCAAAAATTAGAAATCCAAAATGTTCCAGTGAGCATTTTCTTTGAAAGTCACATCAGTGCTCCTAAAGTTTCGGATTTTGGAGCATTTCAGATTTTAGGTTTTTGGATTAGGGATATTCAAACTGTACCAATTTTAAGAAAATAAAGATAATATTAAAATATTTGAATTGTGTTGATGATTAACATATGCCTTAGTAGCAAATTAACTCTATTTTCTATTTGTAACAAATCCCAGTGATTGATTTAAGATGTTTGATAACTTAATATGTGGGACTCCAGAAAAGACCAGTACATGAGGAATTAGCATAATCATTAAAAAGTACTTGACTGTAGTATGTATCAGTTATCCTTTAGTAAGTATGCTAAAAGAATAGCCATAACATTATATAAATTTTATTCCTTAGTATTAAAAAATTAAGGAATGGCAATTCAGAAAAATTTATGATTTTAATGTATCTGAATAACATAGTCCTTTTTGATGTGTTTTTCTGAGGAAGGACTAGCTGCTCTTCCTTTTCTGTGCCTCTACTACAAACTAAGGATATTACTGCCTGTCTCCCCAACAGTCCCCAGCTTGCCAACACTTAATCTTTGCCCTTTCTCCATAACCTCTAAATAGAATCACAAGTCTGCTCATTATGATTACCCAGTGCCCTCTGGTCCCAGATTAGGACAGGTAAAGCCTGATTTTCACAGAAATGTAATTTTACTTAATTCCCATCCTTGAACCAATATTCTCTTATTTTCTTTAAAGGGCTTAAGAGAAGAAAATGTCTAAGTTAGGGAGAAAAAAAGGGGTCTCTCTAAAAATTTATCAAAGTGGGATTTTGTATCCCCATACTTTGTGTTCTACTAACCCAAAAAGAATAGATACCGTGATTTAAGTCTCTACTGGAGCCTGAGAAAAAAAACGGAAAAGGAGTGAGCCAGGATTTTACAATAGCTGAGGCTGGGACCCTGAGTGACTTCTCAACCCCAGGCCTAACTCCCAATTCCCAGCTTGCTTCTTTCCCCATTTTCATGCCCACATCCCCCTTGCTCCAAGTACTGCCATGAATGGTGGTTCTAGGGGAGTGCTAGATGCTAGTTGCAGCCATTAAATGGGTGAGGGAAATGAGCAAATGAAAATTTATCAGACCTGTTTTCAAAGGAAAGAGGTGTTTCTTAACATTCCAAGTTGGAATTCTGAATGAAGTTTTTGGTAAACATATGGTTATGGTCAATCAAACTTGAGTTTGATTCTATAGTACTGTAATATAATGCAGTGTTTCTTCAGTAAATAAAGATCAGCCTGAGAACAAAACCACCTCTGTCCCTTTGTTCCATGTCACCTCTCACTCTCTTTTTATTTCCTTTTTATTTTTCATTTATTACATGAACTTTGATTTTTTTTGTTTGAGATTTTTTTTTCTTTCTTACAAATAGTACCACATTTGTTTTTGAGATGCCTTTGATGGAAACTTAAAAAAAAAAAAAAAAAAAAATCTCCATATGGCATGACCATCCCCTTCATTAAAAAGAATTGAACCTCTATTTTTAACTGTTTATAACCACTTAATTTTTGTAGCATGCTGAGCTCTTAATTTTATTCATACCTCAGAGTACATTTTCTAGGGTTTTTTTTTTCAAGAATTAGAACACAGGAAGTGAATTATCTGAGTTATTATTATTTAAATTATGTTTAAATACTTGCCAGTTGCCTTTACTATTAGCTTGCCAAGATTTTTAATTACTTGAACATACCTTTTCCCTGAAAACATTGTAGAAATTGATTATCTTTGCATTCTGGCATTTAGTATTGCAGAAGAGACATTGGACATCAGACTGATAGTCATTCTCTTCTGTTAGTAACCTATGTGGCCTGCTCATATATTATAGATATTGCTTTATTTTCTTTATACCTAATTTCCTAGGTCAGATGTGATGGTTAAATGTGTGGATTTCTTTCGCTAATTTTTGTCCTGAATGATATTCATTCAGACATTGTACTGTTGATTATAGGAAGAGTAAATAAGACATGAGACAATCATATTAGATTATAAAGACTTACATCATGCCACTTTAAGAATTAGTCCTTCTGCACCTGCTTATCGCCTATGGTAAGTTAAGGATAATATCAGCCTCAGATTAATCAGAGGTTATTGTCTGAACCCTAAAAGGCAGGTGTAAAGTTAGTTAATTGTTAAGTCAGCACAAGTTTGAGTCCCGTATTTACTTTAAATGAAGGACTTATTTGCAAATCAAAAAGAAATGGCAACTAGATAAGGAAGTATTCCCCCAGGAACATAGTTAAAACATACCTACCTTTCAGTATACAGTCATATGCATGGCAAATCCCATAGCTTTTCATATTTTCTGGCAGAATTAATATACATGTAAAAGACATTGAAACATGATAAGCCATACTGAATACATAATTTTTAGCGTCTTGAGGAGTATTGTTTTTGAATTTCTTCCAGTGAAAACTAATATGATAAAATTCAAATGACATCAATATGGCCTATTTGAATGAATAACTTAAATTTTTGTAAAGCTCCTACATTCCAAACTTGTAACGCTAATGTTAATATTTTTAGTTTTTATTCAGTGACCCTGTAACCCCTAATAGAGGGATTTGGGGGCAGTATATAAAATTAAAGCTTGCATTTTCACAGAAGTCTACACATCTATTACAACAGGTTGAAATAAAATCCAGAGTGTCTCATCAGGATTACACCAGCTATGAAACACTTGCCATTTGTCTTAAGTATTCCTTTAATTATTAGAATTTAAAACATCCTAACCTGATTGAAAATTTAAATTTTGATTCATTATGCTTCATATTTATAAGACCAATTTTAAAACTATTTATTTATTCCTTCTGCAGTTATCCTTCAAGTTTTCTAAGGGCTGAATGAATTTTTGTCACATGATTTTTCATCAGTAGTAAACTTTAATATGTTTTGGACTTATTTCGTTATTCTGAAATATTTCTGAGATATTTGTAATGTTGTTTGCCCTTAACACTAAACTTATTCATAAATATACTGATCTGAATCATACAAATTAAATTTTATCCTGTCTCTTAGGTTATATAGTATCTGTACTTACTCAACAACTGTTGGGTTGTTATTGTTGTTAGATTGTTATCATTGTTTAGCCCATTCTGTAGATTCACAAGATTGCTACCTATTGCACTATTACACTTTTGCATTCTTTATACATATATTCATGAAATATATGGCTATTTCATATTTTAACGTAATATTCAGGACAGCTTATATGTAGATATGTATACATGAGTTCAAGTGAAATGTCCTTTATTCAAAGGAAGCACTTTATTTTCTACAATCTGTTGCATTTTCCAAGAATTCATAGTATGTAAACTGGGGTGAATGGGCCCCTATAAAGCTCATAAAATAGAATCCATGGCCAATCTCTTCCTGTAGATAATTGCAGGGTGGAGAGGGAAATGATAAACTATAAGCTTTTATAACTTGTCATAAAAGAACTTGTTTTTACTTATCAATAAAGTAGCAATTCAAAGCAGTTCTATTGAAATTCAAATATAAATGTAAAATAGGTTCTATTTAACAACCACTTGCAGTTTTCCATAATATAACATTTTTTAAGTATCTACACATCAGTTTATTTCTCCAAACATTATAAATTTTGAAGTTTATGTTGATTTTTTTCCTGTTGGCATACTCCACTGGCATTTATGTTTTTCTTAGACTTTTTTTCTCCATTTCTCTTTTGGTTTTGCTAAATTTTTCTACCTGAAAAACTTAAAATTCTGAAAATTTTATATTACTGGAAGATATAACAGTAGCATAAATTGAATTTTCTAAATTATCAGGAAACATTAAGTATACAATATACATAGGATTGTACCATACCAAGCATGGGGAAGGTATGGAAGTACTGTGGGAAAAGTAGAAATATCAAAAAAAAAAAAGTGTGAAACATGGTTTTATAGGTCTTTAGATATATATATACCAATATAATGTGTCTTTGAGTAGTTCTTGATGTCATTAGAAAAATGACCTGTAAACAGCTAAATCCTAATACATGAAATGAATAAAAAATTCAGAGCAATAACAAAAGTGGTATCATGTCACTGAGGCAGTTTGTGCCCAAGTATAGAAATATGGTGTAAGGCTTTGAGTGCTATAGGAATTCCCAGTGCTGGAGTGGTTTGTGAAGGCTGTTTAGCATTGAAAAGTGCTAAACCGATCTTGAAAGGATGGAGTTTTTA